AACACGCGAGCATTTCGACGCATACACATCTCTTGAACGCGAACTCAAGAGCCTCATCAAGGCCAAAAAACGGGGTTACTGGCGGCAGTTTGTAGACGGATTGTCGCGCGAAACGTCTATAAATACGCTTTGGAGTACGGCGCGAAGAATGCGTAACCGGTCTACTAACAACGAAAGCGAGGAATGCTCGGATCAATGGATTCTTAAATTCGCGCGAAAAGTGTGTCCGGATTCCGTGCCGTCGCAGTTGATTCCTCGCGAAACCGCAAATTCGGTAGACGAAATCAGTCAGCCTTTTTCAATGGTGGAACTTTCACTCGCTCTCCTTTCGTGTGGCAATTCTGCCCCGGGATCTGATAGAATCAAGTTCAACTTGCTGAAAAACCTCCCAGACGTCGCTAAGAGGCGCATGTTGAACTTGTACAATCAGTTCTTGGAGCTCAATATTGTTCCCGACGATTGGAGACGAGTAAGAGTGATAGTCATTAAAAAGCCTGATAAACCCGCGTCGGATCACAATTCGTATCGGCCCATCGCGATGCTGTCGTGTATTCGGAAATTGATGGAGAAAATGATCCTTTTTCGCCTCGACAAATGGGTTGAGACGAACCACCTTCTTTCAGATACTCAATTTGGTTTCCGTAGGGGTAAGGGAACGAACGACTGTCTCGCGTTGCTTTCCTCGGAAATTCAGTTGGCTTTTGTTAAGAAAGAGCAAATGGCTTCTGTGTTCTTGGATATCAAGGGGGCTTTTGATTCAGTATCCGTTGAAGTTCTTTCAGAGAAACTCCACGCTTGTGGATTGTCTCCATTAATGAATAATTTTTTGTACAATTTGCTGTCAGAAAAACATATGAGCTTTTCTCATGGAAACTCTACAGCTTTTCGATTTAGCTACATGGGTCTCCCCCAAGGCTCATGTTTAAGCCCCCTTTTGTACAATTTCTACGTTAGAGAAATTGATGTCTGTCTTAGTGACAATTGCACGTTGAGACAACTTGCAGATGACGGCGTAGTGTCTATCACAGGGCCAAAAGAGGTTGACCTGCAAGGACCCTTACAGGATACCTTGGACAATTTGTCTACTTGGGCTATTCAGCTAGGTATCGAATTCTCCACGGAGAAAACTGAGTTGGTCGTTTTTTCTAGGAAGCATAGCCCAGCACAACCAAAGCTTCAACTTTTGGGTAAACCGATCACTCATTCCATGTCTTTTAAATATCTCGGGGTCTGGTTCGATTCCAAATGCACCTGGAGATCCCACATTGAGTATCTGAGACGAAAATGCCAACTAAGGATCAATTTCCTTCGATCAATTACCGGAACGTGGTGGGAGCCCATCCACAAGATCTTCTGACGTTGTACCGGACAACGATTTTATCGGTTTTAGAGTACGGTAGTTTTTGCTTCCAGTCGGCAGCTAAAACGCACATCATCAAGCTGGAACGGATCCAGTATCGTTGTCTTCGTATCGCGTTAGGATGCATGCACTCGACTCATACTATGAGTCTCGAAGTGCTGGCGGGCATGTTGCCACTATCCGTCCGTTTTTCAGAGTTATCTCTGAGGCTCCTCACCCGTTGCGAAGTAATGAACCCACTGGTGATTGCAAATTTTGAGAAGCTTCTGGAGCTAAATCCTCAAACATGTTTTATGACTTTGTACTACCTATATTTAACACAGGATGTCAGCCCTTCAAGAAATATTCCCAATCGTGTAATCTTCTCCGATTTCGGCAATTCAGTGAATTTTGATTTATCTATGACGCAGGAAATCCGCGGAATTCCAGAGCATCATCGTCCTATGATTGCTCCGTCATTATACGCTGCAAAGTTTGGCCATGTTGATTCTGCAAGAACGTTTTTCACAGATGGATCTCTAATAGAGGAGTCCGCTGGTTTTGGTGTATTTAATGAATTTCATAGCGCCTCTCGAAAACTTGAAGCTCCTTGTTCTGTGTATGTGGCTGAACTGGCAGCAATTCACTACACTTTGGAAACTATTGCTTCACTTCTTCCAGACCACTACTTTATTTTTACGGATAGTATCAGTTCTGTCGAGGCTATCCGTTCCATTAGGCCGGTAAAGCACTTCTCGTATTTTCTCTTGAAAATACGAGAACTGCTTAGTGCTTTATCCGTGCGCTCTTTCATCATCACCTTCGCGTGGGTCCCTTCGCATTGCTCAATTTTGGGCAATGAGAAGGCGGATTCACTTGCGAAGGTGGGCGCTATGGAAGGCGACATTTATGATCGACAGATCGCCTATAGTGAATTTTTCTCTATTTATCGTCAGCAGTCGCTCGTTAGCTGGCAACATCAATGGAGTGAAGGGAGCTTGGGACGATGGCTACATTCAATTATCCCTAAGGTGTCGAAGTTTGCATGGTTCAAAGGGTTGGACTTGAGTCGAGACTTCATACGCGTGATGTCTCGTCTCATGTCCAATCACTATTGTCTAAACGCTCACTTGTTCCGTGTGGGGTTGGGAGACAGCAATCTCTGTGAATGTGGACAAGGTTACCAGGACGCTGATCACATCCTTTGGTCTTGTGCGGAGTATCGTGGAGTCAGATCACATTTTTATGATTCCCTCCGGGCTCGAGGTAGACAACCTAATGTTCCAGTTCGAGATATTTTGGCTAGACGCGATCTGGAGTTTATGAAACTCATATATGTTTACTTTAAGGATATTAACCTTAGATTGTAAGTTTGATTAACCTTGTGCTTAGTTTGTATTTTGTACGTGTGGGTTTTTTTTTTCAATGTTTGTTTTCAAGATGAATAGAAATAATTTCATGCTTTAGGATTAATTAAATAGTTGTATCGTAAACCACATTTCAAACCTCCTTCTTCCCTTTTCCCATCCAAAAAATTGTAAATCTCCACTAACCTCGAGACAACCGCGAGTACTCGGTCCAGTTCCTTTAACTTTAAATTTAAGACAGTAATAATGTATAACGCAAAGGATAACTCGGCTCTGTAAAGTTTATTCGATTGAGCCTGTACAAATAAAGTAATTATGAAAGAAAAAAAAGCGAAAAACATATTAAAAATGATCCATAAAACGATAAACAATGAACTTTATGCTAACGAAATTGTTCTTTAGAAAATTACGTAAAAAATAAAAGAATAGTCCTCAAATTAGACACATACTTTTCGTGTTTTGGACACTAAATTATCAATTTTGATCCATAAATATATAACAATGCCCCAGTGCTGACCAATGGAATTAATCATTAACCCGACTTTGTTACATGCGGCATATAATATGTGACATGACAAGTGACAATTGAACAAAAATCACGATGAGTTTTCAGGTTCAAAAGTTCATTGATTTCTATTGTGATGTAATTCATTGTTGTTAGTGTTGTTTTTGTATCAGTGGATAGGAAACTAAGAAAACCTGCATAAGCATGATATCAGTTGACGTTTGAGCGGTTTTCATAAGTTTTAAACTGGAATGAATTAATGGCGTTGTGAGTGTGAATTCATGAAAATGCATAAGAATCTCAAGCGTGAGATTTGCTTGCCAGATTTGCATGCGAGTTTATTTTTTTCGGGGGAGGAAAATAAATTAGATTGAAGCAAGATTTACCGAAAACTGCATATAACATGTGACATGTAACATCTCAAGTAACATTGTATATTTTTATTTTTAAGCATTCTACAAGTCTAAAATCATGATCTACAGAACCCTCATGAAACGATTTTTACTCTTGGAATGTGAGATGGGGGCTGTGTCATTTCGCCTGCGTGCAGAATTGCCATCATTTGTCGAGCCAGTATTTCCATGGTGCACGTCAATAATTAATCCAGTATCCTAATAGTAAGTAAATCCACGCTTTATTTCAGCTTCTCTCATTTCAATGTGTGCCTTCACAGCTTTTGTTTTATGCCAGCATTTGGCTTCCAAGCAAAAGCTTACATGTACTGCAGAATGATCAGTGCTCTTTGTTGTTGTTGTTGTTGTTGTTGTTTTCAACATTTATGTTCATGAGTAAGGAATAATGAACATAAAATGTTCGTTTTGATTCAACCAGGCCCTGTCGAATTTTCGCCTGTGCCTGAACTCAAATTCCTCGGTGCACTCGTCCATAGGTCTTGTCCATCTGAACAAGTTTATTGAAAATAGAAATCATTTATGCAACATTGCATTCCAACAGTTTCTGTTTTCAGAAGTCTTTAAAAGCTCATACACGTGGTTTTAACCAGCACGTGTTTTTATAAGTCACACGTGTCGTGGTCAAAAACAATCGCCAACTATCGCTTTCTTCAATTTTATGCCGCAAAGATCAAAGGAATACAATCTCGACTTTTGCTATGTTTTTCAAGCCACCATTGAAGCCAAGAGGTGGTCAGCAGGGGTTCACTGTATAGAGGCTGCAGTTCTTTATAAGTGTGCTAAACAACACGAATCGAACTTAATAATTTAATATTTTCGTAATTTAGATTGCACGACACGTGCATTCCAACTTACCTTAGAAAGATTCTATATAAAAAAAAGGTCTTCATGGATCAACTTGTTTGAACGAGTATATAACTTGTAGCACTTGTAATTCAGATCATCAGTTAACGTTTTGAAACGTAATCTAAAACAATCAAAATGAATTTTATTGAAAAACTACAAAAGTATCGTGGTTTTCGACTTGACTACCCGGGCGCAGATATTGCCTATCGAAATACGGTCGAACGCATTGATTATCTCAGTGATTTTATGGGAATTAATTTATCTCGACGAAACTATCATGTTTTCAATTCAATATTTCTCTGGGGTGTTTGCTCGCTATTCATTTATGTTTATCTGGTGTTTGAATCTACTTATTATTACCGAAATGATATCGAACAGGCATTGTCGTGTATAACTACGTTTGGATTCTCGACTCAGGTAAATTAAAAATTATTTAATGTATTTCGAAATAATAAAACACTTTTAATCAGATGGCATCCAAAGTTTACTCATTTATCGGAAAACGAGCAAGGATAATTGAAATCCATGAAATGAATGTGAAATTTTTCAGTATGGATATAATACAAGACAACACCGTGAAGCAAGCGTTCAAACCAAGTGTCATGTTGAATAATGTGCTTCTCACACTCACCATTTACGGATACTGCGTGCTCGTTGGTATCATTGGACTCGCACCCATGGTTTATGGATTGATAACATCCAAGCAAGTTCTCTCGTTCGGTTTTGAGGCAATTCATTCCGATGCATGGTCAGCGTACATGGTCAATGGTTTATTCCAAGCCAACTGTGCTTATTATGTGGCAATACTTACAACCGTCACCGATGGGACATTTATCTCATACATTCTCACTGCCACTGGACAGATCGATGCTATCATAGGACTTCTGAATGAACTGGACGGTATGATGATGCTGAAGCCTGACGAGCAAGAAATCGACAATCAATTGCAGAAAATAATCAAGTTTCATCAACACCATCAACTCTTCATGAGACAAGTGGAAAATGAACTAAATTTATACTTTTTGATCTCAATAGCATCACTTTGTTTCAACATGTCGATTTCGTTGGCTGCTTTCGTATTGGTAAGTTATCAAAATGCCAATTTTGATGATGTTTTAAAGTGTGAATTACCATGAATATTTCAAGCGTAACTATTTAAATCAACGTATCTGCTTTTGTAATCAGTCACTTCAATCGACAATTTGTCTTTAACTGATAACTCACCTACGCAAACAAACACCATCATCAGGTAGGGGAGTTTTTCTACTACTAGTTGGTTTTGTTAGTTTCTGTGAGTGAGCTAGCAGTTGCCAAAACCATCGATTGAAGTGTTTGTTTACAAAACAGATACGTCGATTTGAATAGTTGCGCTTGATTTGTTTCATTGTTCACCATGGGCAATCATTAGAATTTGTGCTGAATGCGATAATTTTGATTCACAACTAATGGCTTATGCATTTCTCAGTATTTTCTTAATCTCAGTATTTGCGTGACTGCCCTGCTGACAGCATTCCAGGTGCCCTATTCTCGATATATTTCATCGACGGCATCTACCGCGTTAACGGTAGTCATCTCCCTTCGCATTGCTTCTAATCTAGTACATTCAAAGACCACGTGCTCCGATGATTCCTCCAAATTTCCATATTTCGGACAGAGGGGTGACCTTGCGTTTCCGAACCGATGTAGATACTGCCTTAAGGAACCGTGACCAGATATGAATTGCTTTAGGTGGAAGTTTACCTCTCCATGCTTTCTGTTTGACCAGCTCGAGATATTCGGTATCAGCATGTGAGTCCATCTACCGTTCTCCTCCGTGTCCCATTCATGATGCCACCTGGTCATCGACTCTACCATTTTCCGTATTCCTCTGATTTGCTTCAGCTTGTAGCACTCATTGTCGCAAGCGAAGCTAATAGGGATCATTTCGACGGTAACACATACGGCTTCCGACGAGATGCATCTGTACACGCTCACGACTTGCTTGGCTTTGAGCTTGGACGTACTGTTCAACTTCGCTGATGCCACGTCCAAGCCCAGATGAAGCGCCCATATTGATTTTGGCCAGTCGAAATTTTGGCCTTCCAACACTTGAAAATAGTGGTTTAGTTTCCGCTGTCACCAGATGAAGCGCCCAAAGTAGAGCTACTTTGTTGAAGATGCTAATTTCAAAAAAACAGACTAAAGTGGTAATTTTTATACGATAGATGGAGGAGATGGTAGGGGTAAAAATAGCTGCAATTTCCAAACCTACGACTGGATGCCTTCCTTCAAATAACAACTGAAGTGCGGTAAAAATTGGTACTTGAGCGGTCGGCGTTCATCTCTTTTTGCCAGTTGTGGCGGGGGGACACCCCTCACCATCCCTCTTCAAAGGGGGAGTTTGGTAAAGAGAGATGAAAAAACCGATTTGTACCTTGCTTAAAAGTTGTCCTAGCTCGCTATCTACTTATCTATATGCAATTTTCCCACTGCCATACTCTAACAAACTATCAACTCTATACTTTCATCTCCTCCATCTATCGTATAAAAATTACCACTTCAGTCTGTTATTTGAAATTAGCATCTTCAGCTACTTTGTTTTACTCGCGTGGTCTTTCTTTTTTCGTAAAATAATAGAAAGTAGTTCCGATGATTATTTATCCTGAGGTTGGAACTGCGCTCGTCCGCACCGAGCAAACCTCGAATAAAGTAACTCATCAGAACAACTGCCCGATTCTTTATTCTTCGAAACCTTTTATACATGAATTTTCTACTTAAACAATAGTTATTCTCCAGTATTTACATATAAAGCGAGACAGATAGATTTTCTCATGGAAAGTCGGTGTCTGCTTGTTTACAAGAATTGATGCTCCCGCGGTAGTAACGGTTATGTAAGATGTTTAATGTTTAATGTTTACTTTGAGCTTTCGCGAAGCACCGAGTTAAGCCAGCGCGCATCGCGAAAGACGCGGTAGCAACTGTTTATAAAACACTGACCCTGAAATGTGTGGTTTGTCACTGCTGCTGTTAAGTTGTGTATTTCCTCCGACCGTTGCGTTATTTTTGAAAGCATCCATCCAAAACTCACTCTTTTACAAAGGCTTTAAGCTGAACAACTCTTTACCTAGAGACTTAAGAGAAAAAATAGTGTAACCGTCTTTATAAGAAAATGTTTGTCATTTATGAAGGATAATATCATGTAGTGGAGCGTTGTAATAAGTGTAAATGTGACATTTTTAAGTCACTGGTGATGATGAAACCAAATGAAACAAACGTCTCGGGTCACATATGACATTGTATTACAGAAGCAACCGCGATCTGGGGCGCGGTAAAACCTTATATTTGACTTATATTTTTGGGGATAGGATCTATTCCAAAAGTAGTCCCAGTACCCAGATGGATCCTTGTTTTCAAAACTGGCAGCTGTAATTACATAGAGAATAAATAGACGATGCTTGGGACTAGCAGTCTTGTTTTTGATTAGACAAGTCGTTATTGTGCTATAATTTATTAAAAAAAATGTCTTAAACGCCATTTCAAAAAAGAGCCTTGGGTCAAAATTTTCAATTTCCAGCCCTAATTTGAATGATTTTGCACACCGAAAAATCATGCAGAATGTAATCAAAATCGGTGAGGGTTAAGTCTGATCGATTCGCCAGGTATTGTTTTTGAGAAGCTAACTAAAAATTCAACGTTCACAGTATAATTATGTAAGCATGATTATTCTTCGTCCTCAGATTGATTGGTACCTCGGCATCGTGGTTTTCTGCTTTGCGTCATCCCAGATATTCTACATGTGTTTCCTTGGGACTTACTATGATACAAAGGTAGGTACAATGTTTATTTTTATTGTAAAAATATAAATCATAAAAAGTCTGAAAATTGCAGAGTGAGATTCTCATAACGGAAATCGGACAACTCGATTGGTACAAGCTGTCACTGAAGAATCAAAAATCAATTAAATTCCTTCTTACTGTAACTCAAACCCCGATCACCTTGACGGCCATTTTGGAAGATCTGAATGTAGCTGCGTATTTGAAGGTAGGTAGCAGGAGTGCCCAGCTTAACGTGGACAAATATAAAAGTTTCTTTATATAGCGTCTACCTCATTATTTCGACATGACGTATGAATTATATGATGGCAATGCATTTTTTTTTTTTTCATTATGTTGAGATAGAGGGTGTTAACTGGTTAAGATGTACCAAATATGTACGCAAAATATTGTTTCAAAAAGCTTTGTCCAACTCACCAAAATTGTTTAATATCTTAAAATTAATAAAGCTTCGTTTGGGAAAAGGATTAAACCGTTGAAATCCCAATATGAAACATATTTTCAATTAGGTAACTGAATAAAGGAAATATTTCCGCACACTTCATTGGGCGCATGCTATGGTAGCACTTGTTTTGGGCCTATTCTACCCTATTGTTGTGAGCCTATAAATAAAACAGTCAGTTAATAGCAGTTGGGTTCTCACCCAATTACATTAGATGAACTTAGCGTTATTTGCTTTTCATAAGGAAAACTGGCTGAAGTAGACAATGTCAATGCTAGAGTTATTCAAGATTGCTTTCATGTCATTGACCACATCTTCCTGGACCTTATTAATGTATCATTGCGGACTGGACATGTCCCACACATTTGGAAGGAATCCTTAGTGATTGTAATAGTTTGTTGATACCAGAACAATCGAAATATGGGGAAAGTCATTCTTGTGAAACCACGTTGAATTTGGTATTAGTGAAGTGGAAAGATAACCTGTTGTTGTTGTGTTGAAATTGGCGTAATAAAAATAGGCTTTTTGACAATTTACATAGCAACATTTTTTTTTCAACATTTAGACAAGTAGAAGCAAAGTTAGAGTGATATAAGAGAATATTTAAATTCTTCCAAAATTTTAAATCATTGATGCGACCTCTGTTCATCAATTTTTTCACAGTTTAATATTTTGGCGTTATGAATCGAACTCAAGGGTTGCTTATCAGCAATTCATCATTTTTTTTTTCAAAATGCTGCACCCTAATGGGACAACCTAGTTTTGGCACTTTTCACAATATTTTCTAACCAAAACAAGTAACTTTTAGTGCACAGTGTAAAATGTCAATAGTTAACAATCTATTCTTATGGATATAAGTCATTTCTGACAAACATCCATTCGGGACTATTATGCGCATATGGGCAGTTCCTGCAAAGTTGCTTGAAATATAAAATGTAACTAACATCTTCAAAGTTTCTAAACTCTAAACATAAACTCTAAGCATAATCGCTTGCTGGGGAGTTGTACTCATAACAAATATCCATGTTTTTACTCTATTTCACGAATCAATCAATAAAAAATCTATTTAACCGTATTTATGATCAATGACATATATAGTTTTCATGAGCAAAAAATTTATTTATAATTATGTTTTGTGTAATTCTTTTGAAAATATTTTAATATACCGAAAACATTTATTTTAAATAACTATTGTTGCGCGACGAAAAAGCAGCCAAATAATGATTTTTTTTTGTTTTAGATACACAAAACTGTCTATTCAGGATTGATGTTGTTGTTGCGCGTTAAGGATTGAGATGGCTCATCATTTTGTAAACCCTTTCACAAGTGAAGCGTTCAACGATTAGATTTTTAGCAGTAAAGGTATATGGAATACCGTTTTAAGTGCCCTTAGAGTGGGTTGTGTCATTTCCCTTTAATTCGGTAATAATAGTTTATCTTTTGACAGTTACGCGTATTTCGTCAGTGGTTAAGTACACAAGTGTTGCCTGTGGCACTGATGCAGTGTAGGTTTTAATATTTTGCCCTAAAGTAGACTCCTAAGCTAAAAATAATCCCTCAGAATTGTTTACGCTTAAGCCGGTAAAAATAAAATTTTGTGTAATATTGGCATACTAGTGGTGATTGAATTTTGAAAAATATATTTTTATTTTTGTTTCTAGCCTGAGCTAAATAAAAATTAAGGTATTATTTCTACCACAAGCTTTGTGAGAAATGCGCAAAAATAATGTAAGCATTAATTTAAGTGAAATCAAATATACTATTTTAACAATATAGCCAACAAGCAAGCCTTTGTATCAGAAAAGACAACAAATATATTCTGTAAAGATTACGAGGGATGCTTCAAAGCTTCAACAGAGATTTAAATCAAAACTTGATCAAACAAATATTTTTGAGTTCCCATAAGTACCTACATGCACAAGCAATGTGCACAATTTTTTTCTTGATTGTATTCATTGTAATTAAATTATATTTCTCATGCGTAATTATTGCAACTCACCCTGACTGTAATCAAATGCATATTGGTTGTATTTTTTGATGTTAGGTGGTGTGTCGACAAAGAAGTTTCTGTCCCCTGTGTGATGTATGGAATATCGAAAAGTGAACCATATTGTTAATATTGTCGGTCAAGCCGGAAAACCCCACACACGACTTTCGTTTTACTCTCGTTCTGTACGTTAAACTTAACGTCGAACATAGTGCTAATTAAAGCGCATCATTGTACGAATACAGCGCACTATGTCCAACACTATGTTTAACGTATCTACAGAACAAGAGTAAAATCGATTATCGCATGTGGGGTTTTCCGGTTTCCGATAATAATATTATATTTGGTGAAATAATGATGGGCAATCCAAGTAATTAGTGAAAGCATTCTACTATGCATGATTGACAGCTGCCATATGTCTAGAATCAATAATAAAAATACAATTCTAAAAAGCTTCCTTACACATTTATTTTTTTCTACCGAGCTCGACCAAAGTGACATTTGTTTGCCGAGTCTCGGATAATGCTGAAATGTGCTGAAATGAAATGTTTGCTGAGATCTCAGTAAAACTGTTTTTTGCCGAGATTTGCACAGCGGTAGACAAAAACTAATGTCGTTTTTGGTTTTTAACCTGGGTCAGAGGCAATCCTGACTCTCAATAAACGAACGAAAATGGATCCGAGTTGGATCTGAAGTCGGGTCAGTATGAACACCGTCAGTGCAATCGTTCGAACTGTCAAAGTCAGACTAAAAAAATAGACGAAATCATAACAGCCCAGTTTTGTGCAGCACTTCAGAAGTTCAGTGTTTTTTTTTTTAATTATAAAATGATAGAAGCGGAAATCAATTTTCAGTGTTCACTCGGCTGTCGACAGAAGCAGACCACTCTCAATGTGTGTCACGCGATCGTCTGTTTACTCGGTAGCAACCTTTGTGTGGTCCTTCTCATTGTTCTTCATCAGCGGTTCTTTCAGCCGATGCGTCGTCGACTTTGCAAAGCAACCGTTTCGTGATGAATGTGTGAGTGCTGACCACGTTTTGCGTCCATTGCTACAATGGAAGCGCTCTGACCCTCGTTGGTGAATCTGCCATACAAGTAAACCACTGGAAGCGGCTCCCGTTTTGGTAGAGAAGACTTATTGGATAGCGGAAGAAAAATTGTTTATTGTTTTGTACCTTTTCACTATAGTTTTAAGATGTATAGTATAGTGCACAAGAACCCTCGGTTCTGTAAAGTTAATTCGGTTGAGCCTTATCAAATAAACTAATAATAGTAATAATAAGAAATCGATTTGGTGAACTATCCGCTTGTTCTGAATGAGGAAGGGAATGTGATACAACAAGATGGACTTGTATCTCTCAGATACATTGCAGGGAAATATTTGTTTCATATCGTTCTAATTGAAAAACACTGAAGCAGAAAATCCCCGATGTGAACGGTGGCGTGATTTTTTCAATGCTTTTCAAACAATAAAGCTGGTTTATTAACTGTGCGTAGTTTCAATCAATTATTACTATATAAAAACATGAAATTAATCCGAACGATTAGTCAGCGGGTCAATTGCGTTAGGCCCGATGCATACAAGCGGCAAATCATTGCATTTGAATACGAGTATTTCTAAACCGCAGCGGGACCGCTGCATGATTTTCCGCACGTGTGCATAGGGTCTTAGATGGACACCTTACTATTCGAGAGTTCTGCAATCTTATCTTTTCCAAAACAAAATTCATCCCGCTTTTTAAAAATAAGAAAAGCCTTTCCCCGTGTCTCGAAAGAATTATCCTAGAATTTATAATTAGTTTTTTTTTCAGATGGTAGTATCGTCGGAGTAAACTACACTGATGCTTCCGAATATGAAACTAAACAACAACTTGCAACTCCAAGAACAGAGGGTGACCTGGACAGATGAGCAAACTAAGTTTATGCTCGCTATGTACAAGAAGAACATGGACAAGGGTGGACCATTAAAGAAATTCAAAAATAAAAAACAACTGTGGTGCAAAATTAGCCAGAAGATTGAAGAGGCGCTGGGTGTCGAGTTCACTCCATTAAAGGTGGAGAACCGATGGAAAAATGTTCTGAAGCGGACGAGAATTTGCAGCCAAGAATAATAAGACGTCCGGGAGCACCATTATGCGGACAGCATTTGATGCTGAGATGGCGCAAATCACTGCGTTGGATAACTCGATTGAACCAGAAGGTCTAATGGCCCCAACAACTATCAAACGTAAAGCTCCAGTTCCAACCTGCTCTTCATCACACCCCAGCATACTTGCTAAACGCAGATTGGTTGTCCGGGAAAACACCAGTGATGAACATCAGCCTTCAACATCCTCAACATCAACAAGCTCCGAGCAAAACACCGACAATCCAGATTATCCTTCCGGACCAGACCGGAAAGTCGCCGTAATGTTCAGACAAAGTTTTTGGACGTATACCTTATGGAGTGCGAAAACCGTCAAACTCGCGCGGAAAAGCAGAAACGACATGCTGAGAAAATTGACAAGCTTGAGAAACTAACTGACATTTTCACAATCATCGCTAACAACTTGACCACCCGCTGATGATTAATGTCATTTTAATTTGTTACCTGTTCTGAATAAACATGTTTTAAAAAACCTAATGAAATAATAAGGGGAATTATCTTACACTTTGAGATAATGTTAACGCTTCAATAGTGGTCGTACCGTACATCCGAGGCTGTCATAGCCGAACGAACAAAATACATGAGTAAGAAAGAGCTGTCGTGTACTGCACAAGACGGCAACGTTGCATGTCGTATAACAACCTCACTGTGGGCTGTCGCTTATAGCTCAATCTCAAGGCTGTCGTAGGAAAAAGAAAGTGACAGCCGTTGGAATACTGTCATGAGGCGGTATTTTTGGTATGCCTGGTCGTTAGACTGATGCAAAATTTCGCTCCACAGTGCTTAAACGGTTCCAAATTGGGTCCTGATTAGCCTCCCTATATTTGAACTACCGTGCCGATTCAAATTTCGGACACTTAAACTCGAATTTCGGACACTTTTAAAAGTTGATTATCTCGGTCGAATATGATCCACATGTCTTGTAAATTTTAATTTTTTTTGACTAGTGCCCTCCACGATCATCTAACATTATTACTTTGTTTCTAACTGGATGTAATATTTAATTAAAAATGAAAGTGTCCGAAATTTGAATCGTCCGAAATTTGAATCGGAACGGTACTTTAGTAAGAAACTGACTTGGCACAAACCATTTCAAGTTTATATGGAAATTACTATGAGAAAACTTATGTTTTTGTTCATATCTATCTAACAATTCATTACTTCAGTTTACTTTTAAAAACGATAGCAGTGATTGTAGCTAATTTTCTCAGCTACAACTTTGTTGAAAACCACTTTTCAATCAAATGTAAGGAACAAAAGTTATTAATGATACAAGTCACTGATGTCTTATGATTATGCTCATTCAACTGTTCAGCAGGCAACATTGGTGTTTCTTGTGCGAAGAATAGATCACAAATATCATGGCTACTATGTCACATTGCAGAATACAGTGTTGCCCACAGAACAGCTGCTTGATCATGCCATAAGAATAGTTTGTGCCAAGTCAATTTCTTACCAAATGAGTTTAAATTTTGGGAGGCTAATCAGAACCTGATTTGAAACCGTTCGAGCACTGTGGAGCGAAAATGTCAAATTTTGCATCAGTCTACTGGTCGTACGTTAGAGCCGTTTGTTGCTTTAGAGGACTATGGTAGTCTCCGTAGGCTTCCCACCAAAGCCAAACTAATTTTACACATACCAATTAGTTTTTTCTACCGAGCTCGGCTGTGCAAATCTCGGCAAAAAAAGTTTAACTGAGATTTCAGCAAACGTTTCATTTGTTTGCTAAGATTAAGCTAAGCATTATCAAATGTAAATTTTGCTGAGATCTCAGTGAAACTTATTTTTGCCGAGATTTGCAGAGCAGAGCTCGGTATAAAAAACTAAGTGTGTATAATGTAAAGCTAATCCCCTGCTAATCGCTGTAATTATTCACAAAATCTTCAACGAAATTGTGAATCCTTATTTTCTTCATTTGTGGGTCATTTGACGAATCAAGATTGCTCAACAAAATTTTGGTGTCGGAGTCATCATCAGACAAATTAGAAGAAGATGATAACAGCATTTCAATAAATTTCATGTACTGTAACAAAAACGTACGAATTAAGTATAGCTATACAATCTTATCACAGCACTTACCTCAATTTTTCTATGTACTATTTCGATTTTCAATCCGATTAATATTCGATTACATTCGCGAATGGTGAACAATGCAAACAA